GTGATAAAAAATGTTATCAATCTCTGTGTTGAATTATTGTGCGGAGGTGTTGATTGCCTTGTCGCACATATAGGACAACGCTGTGTCCAAAAGTCTGCAATATAGTGATGTGACATTCAGAAACAGTTCGATTCTTCTGCACGGCTCTTTACTTATTAGATAGGACTGGAGTGTCACTCACTGAGAGCCGTTGTTCTATCAGATTACCATACGCTGTCAGAATAGCATACATTCAGTGAGTACCAGGCCTGCATGCGCATTAAGAAGTCTGACAGTCAGAGGAGTTGTCAGTTCACCATACGCAGCAAGTTCTGACGAAAATAAGTCATTAAATTGTTCATAATATGATACAATATGATAACTAGATATACATGCATTGTCGTGGTTTCAAAGTGTATTTAAAGCAGAGTCTAGCTGCAGTTAACTACAACACACCCCCATGTAAAACTCATTAACCTACTTACTTAACCGCTAAGTTAGGATGCCATACAGCTGTTAATAACAAAGTGTATGATGACCTACATCATGTTTCTATGTTGCTGATTAAATAAAATCATATGGTAATGACAGCATATACATGACTGAGCTAAGCGTAGGACTATCTGACAACGTATGCTGATCTAACAGAACACCGTTGTTCTATCAGATTACCGTACGCTGTCAGAATACATGCAGTGAGTACCAGGCCTGTGCATCCGCATTAATAATCCGACAGTCAGAGGAGTTGTCAGTTCACCATACGCAGCAAGTTCTGACGAAAATAAGTCATTAAATTGTTTTCAATGATAACTATATAGATATACATGCGTTGTCATGGTTTCAAAGTGTATTTAAAGCAGGTCTGGCTGCAGCTGGAGTCAACTACAACACACGCCCGTGTAAAACTCACTTAACCGCTAAGTCAGGATGCCATACTACTGTTAATAACAAAGTGCATGACGATCTATGTCATGATTCTATGTTGTTGATTAAATGAAATCTTATGGTAATGACGTGTCTGACAGATATAGCCGGTGTTCTATCACATAATACGCTGTCAGAATAGCATACATGCAGTGAGTACCATGCCAGTGCATGCGCATTAAGAAGTCCAATGGTCAGTGGAGTTGTCAGTTCAGCATACGCAACAAGTTATGACGAAAATAAGTCATTAAATTGTTTATAATATGATATAATATGATAACTAGATAGATATACATGCGTTGTCATGGTTTCAAAGTGTACTTAAAGTAGGTCTGCCTGCAGCTGCAGTCAACTACAACATATGCCCGTGTAAAACTCATTAACTTACTTAACCGCTAAGTCAGGATGCCATACAACTGTTAATAACAAAGTGCATGACGATCTATGTCATGATTCTATGTTGTTGATTAAATGAAATCTTATGGTAATGACGTGTCTGACAGATATAGCCGGTGTTCTATCACATAGCCATACGCTGTCAGAATAGCATACATGCAGTGAGTACCATGCCAGCGCATGCGCATTAAGAAATCCAATGGTCAGTGGAGTTGTCAGTTCAGCATACGCAACAAGTTATGACGAAAATAAGTCATTAAATTGTTCATAATATGACATAATGTGATAATTAGATATCATATTATGTCATAACGTAATATGATATGTTATATTATGTTATGACATAATATG